ATTACTGCAAGCAACAATGTTTCACAGTCTTATTAGATCAGAGAAAAGCAAAGCCAACCGAACCCTGTTCACTTTTGCTGTGACATTTCCAACAATATGTGATTCGGTAATACAACAATATGTAATTCGGGAAACTGATCATGAATGTCTTGTTGAATATTCTTAATATCTTACCTGAATATCTCTTCGCTATCCTCCGATTCAGTGCCACTGACCACAGTAAAATGGAAGCCTATTAGCTGATGACTGTTAAGGAAGGACAATTCCTTCTGCAGAAAAAGGATAATTTTACACAATTAGGAAAGTTATAACGAGCATGTTTTTGATAAATTTTGACTGAAGTAAATTAAAAAACAATTAGAGCGAATAAACAAGTCAAACCTTCCACTTCTCAAACTTTGTTCTCAACTCTTCGCTGCTATTTGTAACTGCGAGAATAGTCCATGCTTTTACGTCAAATCCGTAGAATATTAACACTCTGCCAGTCCCTATCGGATTGATGCGTGCACCGAAATAGAGATATTTATTGCGACAATGTTAAAACATTCATCGTTTTTTTATAATTATTGTAGCATTCGCCCTATTTCGGAGACCATCAAGAAAGACATTCTGATTCGACACCGGAATTAATGTTCATCTTATCAAAAACATTCTGTGGATGAATATTGTCATAATCAACTCTTTCCGATGTTACTCCATTCTAGATTGATCTGTTAGCCAAGAAACAATCAAGTCTAACTTACGTCTTCTCTCGATTATCCGATTGAGCAACAATGCAAATTGGTACATTTGGTACAAACTTTCGAATTTCGTCGGCTACAGTTAGTGCTTCACTTTTAATGCTTTTATCAGTATATTTGAGATCGTTACTAATCACAACGGCCAATGCCACAGGACCCTGGATTCATGATTATTTCATTAGGTTCCGAAGATCGTACTTTTAATAAGTTCTAGAAATGAAATCCTATATAGAATTTACTTCGTTATAAATGTAATAATACCTCGGAGTGTTGCATGCTGATGCATTAAGCTTTAATTAACTCACATGATACTTTTTCAGAAAACCGACAACTGTATATCGTTTTGTTGCTCTCCGATTACTGGAAAAACTGTTGCAGTTTAGGACAAATATGACAATGATTAATATACCCATTGAATATTAAATATTTAGTAGAGTTTTGTATTGATCTTTTGGGGCGGAATGAATTACACTCTTGGTATATTGGTTCAATTCTAATTCTAATTGCATTCCTTAATTAAATTGTTTTCGCTATTATGCCTTCTGCTTACAATTCTTAGTACATTTAGAAACAGAGAGATTTCATTATCACCCAAGTATCACTTCATTATCATTACCATTCAACTATTATGACCATTCGACTGTCACTTTTAATTGATGCAAAGTTTGTAATGGAAATCACCGCAGTATTTGTACCAGAAACGATTAAATCTCAACATTGGATGTGTTTGGCATAATTTGACAATGATTACAACTTGCTTCTGTTAGTATAAAAGATGACTAACTTATAATAGGGTCCCAAGAAAAAACATTTCGTGCACGAAGATGGACCTATATCGAATGGGATAATCACTCCGTTCATTAGACTTCCTTCTATTTCATTGGATGTTGCTGAAATCACATAATTAGAACTATTCGTTTGTTTAACAGTGGTTTAATGCCATTCATTGAATAATTACAATAAGATTATAATGAAAAAATCCATTATAAATTTCTAACAGGATGCGGGTATTTCATTGATAATTTCTAGGTGATCCTTGCGAGATGTGAATATCGAAACTAAGAAAGGAAAGTGAACACTGGGTATTGCATTGATTAGTTTTTCTCTACCAAACAAAGTCGCTCGACCTGGTATCCAATGATTCGTTGCGAAGGATTGTTGGTGCTAAAGATTGAATTTGTATCATTACGTCATCGAATCTTCGTCTCTCATAAGTTCTCTCTGATTTTTAGTAAATTATTATTCTTGACAGAAACAAAGAATGAAATAAGCCTTAGTATCGGTGAAATTAGTCTTAGATATGAGTTCCAAAGCTTTCTTCAAATATGGCGGTGTTATTTTACCGTCCCGGTAATGTAATATTCTATATCGACGGCTCAACTCATAGTTTGCACATTCAGGCATCTCGGAGATTTCCCTGTAATGAGATATGAAAGAATAATCAATTATTACTACTACTAACCAATTCATTATAACTAATTAACTCATTTCAATTTCTCTTATCTCCTACAGTTATTAGTAATTGGAATCGTAAAATTTGCCGGATATGATTTTTCCATCTTAGGGAATATATGTAACGTGATAATATATAAGTGAAAGAAGAGTGCTCACGCCATATTTTTTAAATCACCGGTAGGTAGGTAACCAGCAATTTGATTTCCCACTTCTCCAAAAACACGGTTTACTTTAACAGTTTTTCTGTAGAAATTGGGACTAACAGAATATTTTGTGTCACTGGAAGCTTTCCATTGAATTTTCACAAATAGTCTTTCTAAATAAATTGGGATTAACAGAGCATTTCGTGTCACTGGAAGCCTTTCACTGAATTGCATAAATTTGCATTTGTGTCAGAAATAGAAGCGTATTAAGGTAAGCTGGACCATCGACTGTCACTATTTTCCAACCAGGGAAAGTTTAATTTAGAAAGAGGTTTTTTTTTTTTGCTGTTGTACACAGATTCCCGAATTTTTATTTCGAGAAAGATTTTTTTAGTAATAAATATGGCGCTCGTTTTTTTCTCTTTCTTCAAACTTCATAATAAAATTTACCCAATATGAATGATGATAAGTATTGCTTGCCTAAACATGGCTCAGTGTTGCAATATTTCCTTCAATCATCAAAACTAGTATATACAAATGTTTTTTATAACAAAATTAGATAAATCTCATCAACAAGTGAGGTAGTGAACTTTCACTGAAAACTTTGAACCATCATATACTTGAACAATACTCGAAACACTGATGGATGTAAAAGTTGAATCTATTACGTATGTAAATATAAACGTGAATACAGACGTGAATATGAAAGCACACGTGAAAACGCATTCATGTTTACGTGTATGCAAATGTTTTCAAAACGTAGCGATTTTGTTACCATCTATTTGTGAAACATACAGTTACAAGAAAACATTTATTCGAACATTTTCGCCAGTTCTCGCAATTCTTTTATTCATACCTCAAATTTTGATACTGTCTCCGACACTGTTTTCTGCTGAAAAACAGCGCCGTACAAGGTAAGAAAAAATTGTAGTTT